TCCTGACGAGATATTCAGGTGCGTAATTTAAAATGGGACACTTTGTATAGTTAAACATATGCTAATAGTTATTTTTAGATATACATATGTTAGAACGAGATATAAGTGCCATAGCCGGATTTTTGCGTAGCTAACTTTGCGTAGCTAACTCCATGCAAAGATATCATTAAGAAATTATTATTCGTTATCAACATTCCTACTCAGCTATCATTGGCTAAAATTACTTCTTGTTGATTGAATATTTGAAAATCCTTAAGACAGTTTGTACTTGATACAGAAAACTTTCTTTTTTGCAAGAATTATTTTAACATTTTACAACATTTTTTATATTTGATTCACACGAAATCAACTCCCAAAGTATCACACGTATTATACGTTCATAGTTAATGAATTAAAGGATTTGCTTTGGGTTGTGTAAACGCGAGCCAACTACTCACGCGTTATACGGTTTCGAACCCCATATATGAGCCACACTATTGACGCTCCACGTGCAATTCAAGGCGATCACATAGCGACCAAACAATTGCGATTGAATTGACTTGCTCCATGTCTCGTTCCATCCATAAACCGGTACCAGTATCGGTAGCACGACGCAAAAGAGAAGTCTAAGTATCGCGAAATACCTGGCAACCAAACGTATAGGAAATGAATAAATCAGTAAAAATTATAAAACTTGCTAATATTGGATCCCTTATTTTGCTCAGTGATGCCGAATAACTCATAATTCGAAGACATTATACGGACTTAAAAACTCAGATGCTGACGATAGAAATACGACGCAATTGACAATTTAGACAGAGTCTCACTTTGCACTGACGCTTGTCAGATACAGAACTATTTTAGAATGGCCACAGGCGATCCCGTTACTTTCCTCTTTTTAGGAGAGGTAGACTTACTTATCGTCGAACACGACGACAGGATCCGCCAGGACATCGCTCATGTCGATCTCACAACCTCTTCGGATCACTTCCGGATACTTCTTCATCATCAGCCAGCCGACGTGGGAAAAGAAGAATCCGCGATTGCTGTTGTGCGGGTCCGTGTCCGTCTCCGTATACTTGTGATGCACTCGATCTCACACCCAATCCGTAATCTTGTACTAAAAGATAAACATTATGGAAAAATATTTTTCCTATTTCTTTCTCTATCACACCTCCCCCCCCCCTCTCTCTCTCTCTTTCCTCTTTCACCAATTCTTACATAACTTTATGTTTGAGGGGAATTCTTTCTCAGAGCCATAACGAATTTTTCTCTCTATTTTCTTATCTGTCAATCTATCTATATCTAGGATACTAATTAAAAGTTTGTTTTATTACCTGGCCAGCCATAGTGAAGAAAATAAGGAGCAGAACTCGAAGCAGCAATTTGACCTGGTAAGATCGATGTGTCCATAGACGATGAGCTCCAGCAGTTACACCAATCGCTTGTAATCCACTTATTAAATGCGCTTCAAACAAATTCAATCGACAAGATAAAATACATCTTATAAGATCTCGCGTAATAATTAAAAATAATTAAAAATCTGTTTGTGTATGAGCGTGCGAGCACGCGATGTGTGTAATGTGTTTGTATGAATGTATATTTCACAATCGCTGTGTAACATAATAACAATTGATTATACCATAACATATTATATATCATATCATATCAGAATGTCGTCAAACATTAAATTCAAGATATTAACATACGCAAGACTATGATGATATAAATTATTTGGGGAATTTTATCATTATTTAATTATAATAACAAGTAATAAGCGAAAAATTTAAGAAAAACTAAAAGGCAGTGCAATTATAGATATTACTGATGTGGTGGATCGATATAGATCCACACAAGCACGACCGCCGCAGCCGCCACATGACCAGCGCGGCGCCGTTCGGCGACGTGCACACGGAGGGGTTTTCTCGCGAGAAAATTATCATTAGCAGACAATAAAAGTCGGACTCCGCGGGGGGTCAAAACACACTTCGCCGCGCTGACTTCTCTAAGCATTTTACCGCAGCTAGAAAGCCATCGGCCTTGGCCACGAGCCACATCCGCTGCAGAAACGGCAACAAGCCTCTCGGCGCTGCAGAAGCGCCTCGGCATCGTCTCACGGCGCTGAAGAAGCGCCCCGGCATCCGCTGCAGAAGCGGCAACGAGCCTCTCGGCGCTGCAGAAGCGCCCCGGCATCCGCTGCAGAAGCGGCCTCGAATCTCCAGACGCCGAAGAGGCGTCCACGAGAGCCACCACGCCGAAGACATCTCCACACGCCGGTTCCCCGGCACGGGAACCTGCCCAGAAGCAGAGAAAGAGAAGAGGACTGCAACGAACTGCCTCCGGGAACTTTTCGGGGGAAACTCTCCCGAAGCTCTAGCAGTCGGACCGACACCGGGAACGCTAAAGGATCGTTCCTTACGACCGTGCACCCCGTCACCTACACGGGCACTGACGCCGTCACCGCTGCACTGGGAGCCACCCCAGTCGCCCACCTCCAAGGCGGTAACCTTTATCACGTGGAGGCTCCAGAAGATAGTCCTCCCACGGCGGCCACTGACACGGCCACCTGTTTCAACGCTGGCGACTCCAGAGTAGGACGACCGGTGTCTCCTCGATTTGCCCACGGAGACGGGCGTCACGCCAATAAAGAAAACCGGAATATTGCTACCCGAAGCCCCGGGCAAAGGAGGACTCGGAAGAGGGAGCATAGCCCTCAAAAGGGTAGACTCAACGCCGCGGCTCGTCGTACTTAACGAAGATTAACACACACACACACACACACACACACACACACACACACACACACACACACACACACACACACACACACACACACACACACACACACACACACACACACACACACACACACACACACACACACACCTACACATGTAAATAGCATAACACCAAAAATAAATGTTTATATAAAAAGGTAAAAAGGTAAAAATGTACAAAGAGTCATATTTACATAACACCCTCCCCGCGAGCAAAAGATTACTACAACTAATAGTGAAATATTAATGGCACATAAGGAGCTAGCGCGGATGTCTT